TACAAATATTTGCATCAGTTCTTTAGTGTCGAATTCAGTATCAGAACCATGCAGCCTAACTAGCGCGCGTGAAGTGCGCGTCTTGCCTAGTAAAACAAAAAAAACAGATGTTTTTATAAAAAATTATATTAAGTAAGCATTTTTTTCGGCTGTTCCGCAAAAAAATCAATTCATCTCTCGAAAGAATAGAATTACCATAGAAAATCAGTGGAAAAATTAAATAGAAGGAACAAACTAAGTGAGAAAACCTTGCATAAATAATTAAAAGTCGGTGGAAATAATAAATCGGGAGTATGTCAGTTTCTTTTCAATTGTTAATTGGAAGTCTGTTCTATTCTTTTTTTATCGTTATTTTACATCGCTTCGACCCGGTTAGGGTATACTGCGATGGTGATCAATGCTTTAAATGGTTAGATCGCACCATTCCACCCGGCCGGGATTTGAACTCGGAACCTTTCGCACGTGAGGCAACGAACTTACCCACTGCACCAAGCCACCGGGCAAGTATGTTCTATCTTGTGAAAATAAGTTGAATTTAATTTTAAAGAACAATTTTCACAAAATATGAAGACAATTCTTTGCTTATTTTGAAAAATTTAATAAAATCTCCCTCAAAAATAAAAACAAATGTTTTTGTAAAAAAATCGCGCCAAGGAAAAGTTTTGTTTGGTTCTTACTAAAAAGTGAAATTTTTTGAAAAATACAAACAAATAAAAAAAAGCCAAGTCGGAAATGTCGAATAAATGGTCATAGGGCACAATCAGATTTCTATGAGAAAAATAATTCCAAACCGAATGAGGATGAGAAAAAAATTCTCTATGAAATAAACAATCAGCAGAAGCAGGACCAACTTTCTTGGCGCGGAGTTTTTCAACTCACTATCTAGTATCAATGTCATCCTCCATGTTCTGATCCGCGCCAAGGACATTGGTCCTGCTTCTGCAAATTTTCTATTTCATAGAGAATTTTCTTCTCATCCTTATTCGGTTTAAACTATTTTTCTCATAGAAATCTGACTGTGCCCTATGACCATTTATTCGAAATTTCTGACTTGGCTTTTTTTTTATTTGTTTGTATTTTTCAAAAAATTTCACTTTTTAGTAAGAACCAAACAAAACTTTTCCTTGGCGCAATTTTTTTACAAAAACATTTGTTTTCATTTTTTTATCTATATATGTAAGTTCTCTATTGAACTTATTCCTCAACAATAATTAAAAACGCTCTTTCAAAATGTTCAGAATTTTGTTTACTCTTTTTGCCATCCAAATTCATCATTTTCGGGGGTCTCTGAGAGACTTGGCACTGAGTTGAAATTTCGAGATGAAAATCGAACAAAAAAAGCAATCTAGATAACGTTCGGCAAATAATAGGGCCGGGCCTTGAATAAAGTAAAACATTTGAGAGGTTACTTTTCCGGTATTTTCGGGGGGAGAGATTTATTAGAATACATCAGAAGATCTTATTTATCTGTGTTTCGTCACGAAAGTAAGGAGCTTCGGAGACAAATATCAGGAAATCTCTGTTATATAAAATCTGATTCACGCAAAGTCAAAAATGTCCTTTTGATATCTATAGTCAAGTGACTCCTTTCTGAAATCTTTATACAACATCAGCGAAATAAAATTTAAATCTGGCTTATGTTCTTGGCCATTTGATTGGAGGACATATTAGTATGCTAATAATTACCAGATATCACTCATGATTTTCCCTTTGGGTACTTTTCCCTCACATCGAGATACGCGGTAGCGTATCGGCCAAGAAAAATTTTGACCGACTGAGCAAAATATCAGGCCGAGCGCACCGCGTATCTATACACGACAGAACTTCCCCCTCCACTACTTCTAAATGGTTTACATTAGGTATAATGAAAACGGAACGACAAATCGGAAAAGTGTCATTAGTTACATATAAATCGCCTATGAGCTTTTCAACGGTGTAACTATGGTATGTTTTGGATTAACTGTAAAAAAGATATGCGCATAGCAACGGGTTGATATTCACATTCTCGCAATTCACATTATAAAGTCGGAGAATCAAGTTGTAACGTTGGCAGCCCCGGTCCAACTGAGCCGCATATCCAACGTTTAAGTATTGCCACCAGTGCATTTGATGGTGGGTTGTGATGTTGCTATGGAGAACCGCGGGAATTCTTCTTCACGTTAAATCACTTATTAGAATGAAACGGAAAATCGACTTGGTGTTCTATTTTGTTTTCTCTCGTCGAAAATTCGAATTTCATCCCGTCATATCTATATTCATATGCGGACCTCGGACATAAAGGTAGTTTATGTACTGTGTGTGAGGTTATCGGTTTATGTTTGGAATGTGACAAAAGTGAAATGTGTCGAAAATATTGTGTGATCAAGTATTAAATGTCCGTGAATAGTTAAATTTGTAAAGAAAATATTTATTGTTCTCCGTGTGTAACAGAAAATGTTTTCATTCCGTGGAAAAAAATTCACTAAATTAACTGACAGTGAAATGCGAACAATTTTGTGATTATTTAGGAAAGATTAGTAGGAAACGGGGGGATTAAATGGACACTTTGAACCCTTTTCAAAATGTTGATGTCTTATTGAAGTGTTGATAAAATGCAATTTTTTTTTTAAATTAAAGTACAGTCAGCCCCTTTGTAATAAGCGTAGACTGAGCTCAATTGATAAATTTGTTCCTCGGTTATAAATATTGAAACAAGAAGTCAGAACAGTCCATTCCACCCAATGTTTCCCTAATATTTTTAAAAACAAAAAAAAACAAAAACAGATATTTTCAAAAAGAATCCTTTGTGAATGTTTTGCTCGACTGTTCCTGTGAGGAAATGAATTCATCTCTCCAAGAAATATAATCCACATAGGAATCATCACAGTAAAAATTGAATGAGGAACCAAATCAAGTCAGAAAATTATTAATAGATGGTTAAAAATTGAAATTCGGTGGAGACAATGAATCTGGAGTAGAACTGTTTATCTCCCTTCAATTGTTGATTCAAAAAATATTCTATCTTCCGAAAAATGAATGAGTTAAACTGAATTCAAAAGAACAAATTTCACCGGATGTAAAAACAGTCCTGGCTTATTTTGAAAAAAATAATGAAATGTGCCTAAAAACACAAAAACAAATGTTTTCGTAAAAAAACTGGGCCAAGAAAAAGTTTTGTTTGGTTCCTACTGGGAAGTCGAAGTTTTTGAAAAATGCATAGAAATAAAAAAGGAAGCCAAGTAAGAAATTTTGAATAAATGTGTACGTCCACGTGAAAAGGGCCCACTTTGTCGCATCTAGTTTTCGAGATATTCACGTTTTTCTCTCTACATCTCCCATTTAAACCAATGTTAAATTGTTTTTTTGATCGTCTATACTGACGTCAGTTTTCATTCTATCGGGTTGATTTTGGGCTCAAAATGTGAGAAATCTGATCAAGATTATCAGAACATACATAACTCCAATACCGTCAAAGTGGGCCCTTTTCATGTGGACGCCCACAAATGGTAATAGTGCACAATCAGGTTTCTATACGAAAAATAGTTCTCAATGGAATAAGTATTCTAAAAAAATTCTCCATGAAATAAAAAACCAGTAGGAGCAGAACCAACGTTCTTGGCGCGGAGTTTTTCAACTCACTGTCTGTATCAATCTAATCCTCCATCCTTTGATCCGCGCCAAGGACGTTGGTCCTGCTCCTACTGATTTTTCATTTCATGGAGAATTTTTTTAGAATACTTATTCCATTGAGAACTATTTTTCTTATAGAAACCTGATTGTGCACTATTACCATTTGTGGGCGTCCACATGAAAAGGGCCCACTTTGACGGTATTGGANATCCAGTTTTTTTACAAAATTTATAATTCATTATACAACCGAAGAGCAACACTTGCATTTTTTAGAACCCGATCAACCACTTTTTCATCAACTTCTCGTCTCTGAAAGTTTTTGAACAACCTCCAAATATTGTCATTCCCCAATATGTTGATCTTTCAATAGCACAAAGCTGGTGATTCCATAGCCCTCCACAATGTAACTAATCTAAAGAAATGTGCACAAAAAATTCAATGACACTGATGATGATTTCGTTCCTCGCTCTCCTCTGAACAGATGTTAATATTTGAACATGAGATCAAACTGTAATAAAGCCGTCAAGTGTTAGTAGGTACTATCTTTCGAATATTATCTGGATTTTTTTCATTTTTCGTAATCCAAAATTGTCAATTGAGTGGTACATCATGTAGAAATTCCCAAAAATTATGATGGAATGATAAAAAAAATAGAAAAAGTTGTGAACTTTTTCAAAGAGCGTTTTTGATTGAGATTCAGAATGAATTGAAAAAAGTGGAAATTACAGATATCTGATTCGCTGTGGCAAATTATCTATTAGCTGTCATTTTCCATGGTGGATAACAAAACACTAACTCCTCATGGGAGGTGACAGCTAGGTATCTGAATTTTCAAAACAATGGTATGTAGTTATCTGCCATTTTTATGTGATAAAAGTGTGATTAAAATATTCTCCAAAATATTACAATGTTTTTCAAAGAGCCTTTTCCGTAATAAATGTCTCTGTGCAGTGTGGGAAAAGATTTACGAAATCAGTCTTCTCCCTCATGATATTGGGTGACAGACCGCCATTTGTCACCGTAAATCAGATACATGTTTCAATTTCTTGTTATTCAACTTATTCTGAATATAAATTAAAAATGCTCTTTTAAAAAAATAAGAATTTTTTCTACTTTTTTTTTATTATTCATTCATAAATTTTCAAAACTTCTGCATGATGCTGGACTTAATTGACAATTTCAGATGCGGAAAGATGAAAAAAAAACATCGAGATAACTTTCGAAAGATTGTACACCCGGGCCTTGAATTTAAAAAATCAATCTCTTCATAGAAATTGTCAGATAATGAATAACAAAAATTATTCTTGATAAGTTATCAAATTGGTCGATGCTTTTAAAACTTATCATTATTATGATAAATTTGATCGATCAGTATATCGGATATTACTCACCGTTGGATTTTACACTGATATTTCACGTTTCCAGGTGTGAAGAAAGTAGAAATCACCAGTCCCGAGTGCCGGGAATTTTCTGAAATAATTTCAAACACTCTAAATTCTGCATGTCAATCACAATACAATTTTCACCTAATACCCTTCTAATAACACCATAACCCATCTAAAACCCTTCTAATATAAAACCATTGCACAAAATTTGATGCTCTTTTTTATCCTAAAGATATTGCGAGTCAACTATTCTTAATGAACCCAACAATGATCATTCTGTGATAATGAATTACTTTTACAACTATGCAATTGACATGACAAACATTCACCTATTATTCCTGTTTCGTTACTAAAAGTCACCTCGCTATTGATTAAACACACGTGGTTGCAATTTGCGAAGAGAATAAGAAAAAACGAACTATTTCCAAAGAAAACTAGTGAAAAAAAAACATTGAAATTTGAAAGATCCAATGTGAGTATTTAAAATGAAAACTTGGAAATTATTCTGTCTCGCAAAAAAATGCCCAACAAAGTTAGAATAAATGACAAGGATGCATTGGTTTTTCTTCGGTTTAGAGGACTTCGCACTTCACAAGAAACAATATCGATCGATCGTCGCCTGTATGTCTTTATGCCAGAAGAATTTGGTAAAGATCTTCAGACTACTGAATGAAACTAATAGAAACAAAAATTAAATTTTAATAGAGAACTCATCGCAAAATCCTCCTGATTTCCGCGAAGTCGAAGGAATTTGTGAGATGATTCTTCTTTTTCATGGAATGGCAAAAAAAATAAAAATTCACATTACTCACTGAAAAATCATTCGTTGCCAGCATTTTGATCGAATAATCCCCACAAACTTTGAATTTTTGCAAGATATAACACTCCGGAGAACTGTTTTGGCTCGTTGCAATAGCCCACATTAGAAAGCAGCCATTTTTTTATCAACCCCGGACAGGAATAGTCGCGGTAGATTCGAACTACCCACAGAGATCATAGGGGAGATTAGCAGGGCCAATGTAAAGTGTTCAACAGCAAAATTCGTAGCGGTGGCGCATGGACTACGATGGAGCGTACGGAACTGTTGGTATGGTAGGGCCTGAGTATAAATTTATCGATAACCGGAAAGGGGTTCTCAATACAGTAGCTCCTCGCATTTGGTAATAATTGTCAGGAATGTAAAATCGAACATATTATAATCAATAGTATAATGAATGCAGAATCTAATGATCTAAAAGTCTGTTCCTTTTTCTCGACATATTTATTATTGACACGTAGGCAGGGTTGGGCAAGTAAATTACCTTAGGTAAATTACATGGTTTTTGACCGGTCATAAAGTAGGTAAATTACCCGGGCGAGTTGTCGGCTTTTTGACCTGTCAAAAAACTATGTGGCGCCATCTATTAGCACCTTGGGGAACCGGGAGATTTTTACCGCGAATACCGCCNGTTCCTTTTTCTCGACATATTTATTATTGACACGTAGGCAGGGTTGGGCAAGTAAATTACCTTAGGTAAATTACATGGTTTTTGACCGGTCATAAAGTAGGTAAATTACCCGGGCGAGTTGTCGGCTTTTTGACCTGTCAAAAAACTATGTGGCGCCATCTATTAGCACCTTGGGGAACCGGGAGATTTTTACCGCGAATACCGCCTGTCAGAGTTACAAGGGTCAAAATTCGAAAAAATCATACCCACTGAGGTTATACCTCGCAAGGGTCAAACGTGACAATCATAACTTGCGAGGGTCAAACGTCACAATCATAACTTGCG